GTCTCAAAAAAAAAAAAAAGTAATAGTACTCTACACCTCCGCCTGAACAATGACACTATATGGTTCTCTCTAAACATACTTACACAGTCAAAACAATGTAACAGTGAATATTAATGTAACTCCCAACTTGTGCCATTCCCATACTGGCAGAATGGTAGGAGAGAAAACAGGAGTGGGGAGAGTGGTGTACGTCAGAAAGCTAAACCCTCAACTCCTACAGTAGGAAGTTAATGGGCAATTTCTATCACTGATCATCAAGAAATTACTACATAAGCTATTGCTTAGAAAGATGAAGGTAGGCCAGGTGTGGTGGCTCATGACTGTAATCCCAGCATTTTGGGAGGCCAAGGCAGGAGGACTGCTTGAGCTCAGGAGTTTGAGACCAGCCTGGGCAACATAGCAAAACCCCATCTCTACAAAACATACAAAAATTAGCTGGGTGTGGTGGTACATGCCTGTAGACCCAGCTACTCTGGAGGCTGAGGTAGAAGGACTGATTGAGCCCAGGAAGTCAAGGCTGCCGTGAGCCGTGATTATGCCACTGCACTACAGCCTGGGTGACACAGTGAGACCCTAACTCCAAGAACAAAAACAAAAAGAAAGAAAGAAAGAAAGAAAGAAAGAGCGAAAGAAAAAGAAAGAAAGAAAGAAAGAAAGATGAAGGTAAACAACAAAAAAGAGTCGAAAGTGGCTGTCTTCAAGGAATAGAATTGTGGGTGGGAAAATAGAAGCAGGGAATTGCTGTTTTTCATAATAATCTAAATGTTGACTTGGATTAAAAAGTCTTTCTAAATTAAATAAAGGTATAATTTTAGAAACCTGAGAAACTTAATCTTTCTATGCCTTTGTTTTCCCTTCTATAAAATGGGAACAGCATCTTCTATGGCTGAAGTGAGGATTAAGTAAAACATATGTATGGTACACGTAGCACACAGCGTGACCAGTCTCCACAAAGGGCCTGGCCTTCTGCAACACTTACCGCACCTGAAGTCCTGTATCACTGTAGGAGCAAGTGCGGGCCTCTTCCTCCTTACCTGGCAGAGCTTTACAAGAGCCGAGTTTTAAGCAGAGATTTGGCTGGAGCTATGGGTTGATGAGGATACTGCATGGGCGTTTCTAAGAAGCTCCTTCCAGATGCCAGTCTGTACGTCGGATGCCAGCCCAGCCCATCTTGCCCTCCCAGCCCCTAGGCCATCCAGTCTGGCCTCCTCTCCACCCACAGAGCTCCCACAGTCCAAAGCTCCAAATGCCAACTCCTACCCACATTTGCAGCCCAGATCTTCCAGGGGGCCCCACCCAGCTCAGTCCAAGTCTCTGCTCCCTGTTCTTTGGGCTCCAGTGACCAGCCCCCTTTTCTCTATGCTCTAACCTCTGACTCCAACCACCTACTTCTAAGTCTTCCTTGGTTTACTGAGACCAGGGCCATAGAACAAGATCTTTGGATCCCAAGAGGTTCCTGAGAGGAAAAACAAAAAAACAAAAACCAAAAAAACAAAACAACAGCCACCTTCTGCACTCTCAATGGGGAAGAGAAACTGGCCTGGAGGAAGCTCCAAGTTTTCAGTTCTTACTTGTTCAGTCGAATGGCATATTCCTTCAGGGCAAACACATTGTCAGCAAAGACAATAATCTTGTCATTCCTCCTTTCATGAAACTTGATCAGAAACTGGCAAGCTCTAAATTTGTTGGGGTTCATGGTGTACAGCAAGATTCGTTTCTTGGTTTTGATTGCTACATATTCCCGGTAAAATTCAGGAGACATAGGGCACCAAACCTGTGATGCAGTAAGAACCAGGGGTCATTTTACAAGTTTAAACATCACATAATTAAAAACTTTTGAAGACCTTTCTCTAGCAGAATTAGCTTTAAAACAAAACCACACCGGGCGCGGTGGCTCAAGCCTCTAATCCCAGCACTTTGGGAGGCCGAGACAGGTGGATCACGAGGTCAGGAGATCGAGACCATCCTGGCTAACACGGTGAAACCCTGTCTCTACTAAAAAA